GCAGATACCAACAGATATCGAAGACATACCTACATGATTTATTTCATTGTTAAACGCAGCAGATGTAGTGTAGTAACAGGTTAAATCTGAATCTATTTCAATCGCCACCAAATATCTGAACAAATATGACACGTATTTTATATTCTGTGTTGATTATACAAGGTTCAAATGAAGGGGAAGAGTATCTTACCTCAGCTACTCTACAGTAGATCATGGAGATAAGACAACTTTTTAAAAATGAGACACAGTCTCAAACCAAACACTACCTACCTTTATGTTCTCTCTCATAGATCAATGTCTGGAATATACCTGAATAACAAAACTGACTGTCTCTTCCATCTCCAAGTTTGTAGCCTACATATATCACCTGGTTTGTTATAGGAATCAATTTCTGCCTCTCTTCTTCTTCCTCCTCCTCCTCCTCCATCGTTTTTCTTTAAATCCTGAATAATTTGCACCTCGAGTTGTGTCGACACGTCTGAACTTCCGCTCTCTCCGTCTGTTCTTTCGTCTTTCCTCATGTCTTCATACACTCTCTGGAAATATAAAGAGCCCCTGACAATGCATCAAGCAGTACTAAAACTAGCATAGTGTTAATTACACTGGTTGTGGAATGACAAATGAGTGCTGTGGGAATGCAGGCTGTGAGCTGTTGGGTTACTTTCAAGCTAACTTGGAAAACACACAGCAACAAAAAAAAAAAAGTTAATACAATTACTGAAATCCAACGATGTAAAAATGGCTTTTTCAATCTTAGTAATTAAAACTGATGGAAACTTAACACTGAACTTTTTCTCACAAGAACAGCCGCGTACAGTTAGCAAAAACATCTCAGGACCTGTCAGTGGTTTCTCCTCCCTGACAGTGTGTGTATTGATTCAATTACCTAAAAGTCATGCCAGTGTTTGTCTGTCTACTTCGCGCTCTCTCTTCTCTTTTCGCAATGTTATCTTTTGTCCACTTCATCCACACGCATCAGTCTTCCAACCTGCCCCGGTTGTCAGTCTCGCTTTCTGTCCGTCCACGTCTCTCCGTGCGTCCAGATCCTCTCTTCGTCTCCTCTTATGTCGACATCTTACATTCATTACCGCATGGCCTTGGCTCAGTCTGCTCTCTCTCCCCTTCTGTGGTGCTCAATTACTCTGTCTTCCTGGGGCAAGCACTGGTGTCAAGCTACTGTAATGACTTTCTGATTATCTGTCTTTATGTGATGAATGAGATGGAAATGTACCACCACGGCCAAACGGGGGCTGGCACCACGCCGAGCTGCCACACCACGGTCGGGGCGGATGGGAGCGGGGAGGGGGGGTAAGCAACAAAACAAATAAACATTAGATTATAATACAGATGCAACTATTGTGATGAGTGTCGCTGCGACCGAAGGAGTCATGCTCAATTTGGTATTTCGAGGGCTGTGATAAAAATTATTGTTTATGATGCAACTCCGAAAACAACAGCTCGTAGTATCAAGTGATTAATTAATCAACTGGCTTGCAATGAAGGGAGGAAAAAAAAAGGCGACAGCTCAGGCTGAGTAGTAATCAGCTATAGTCTTCGTTGGATGCAAGTGGACTTTACCTCCACCTGCGTGGACGTGCTCTGAGAGCAGATGCAACCGGGAGAACTCGCCCCCAAGACATAAAACAGCCCCATGAAGGGCAAAATCCCCCTCCGTTTTAACATCTAAATCTAGGGGGGCTTGCATGATGTAAAGTGATTGTTGATGCTTGACTTTGACCTTCTAAAACTCCCTTATTGATTTTCTCCCTTTCTTCCAGATAAGTGTTGATGCCTGTTCAGCCCCTAATGCGCTGGAGGTGAAAAATGAGGTTGACGTAGACATGGTTAACCATAATGCCAAGGCGGATGCCACCCGATAGCAGCCAGACACCTGAGAAAGCAGGCCTAGGTCCAGCTCGCCACTCACCCCCCTCTCCAGTTCTATTATTCATTCCTCTTTCAAATGCCTTTTATGCTGCTCAATTACCCCTCCAGCAGCCCAGTGTGGACACTGTAATGACATTCTGATTATCAGTCTGTAAATGAGAAATGAAATGAGTGTGTGATGCCGTGCCAGGGGAAGAATGGAAGGGCTAGAAGCCTTTCAAAAATGGAGGTTGTGGAGGAGGGGGGGGAAAGTGTGGAGGTGGCGGTGGTGGGGGGACGGTGGGAGGGATGAGTGCAGCACTCTGGTGATCATCGACAAGACGATAAAAAGAGGAAACATTTTGTAACACACTGCAAATGTATGAAATTACACTTTAGAATTTAATTGCCCCCTATTCAAGGCTTCACTGTGCGCTTCAACAATGCAAGGAGAACCTTTATGTTTCCAAACAATCAGTCGGGTAGAAAGGAGCCGTGTTGCAATTGAAAATATGTCCAATCATTTCAGTGGAGCTTAAATAGCAGATATCCTCTTCACATGCTGATTTGGGATGAATAAAGAAATAAAAATCCCCCCTCCGCCGCCCGCACCGCTTACAACTTAAACATCAGA